TAAGTTAGTAACCTGGTTAAGCGACTCTGGCTTCCTCATCCGATTTGTCAGAAGGTCGTAAAATGTGATCCCGTGACCCCAGGATGCTGCGACGGTCATAAATGTGAGTCAGTTGCCAAGGGTCTGAATTTTGACCACGTGACCGCAGGGATGCTGCAATATTCGTAAGTGTGGAAAACAGTCAGAAGTCACTTTCATCGGTGCCGTTGTAACTTTGAACTGTCGCTAAACGAATGGTCGTAAGTGGAGGACTATGTATGTAACACTGCTTCGTGTGATACGTGCTCATCGCTCGTTTTTTTTGACTTCCCTGTTACTCTAGAGTCGAAACTACGGGACTGGCTGGCCCGGGCAAAGTCGCGCTTATCTTCTGTGGTGGAGGAGAAGGAAGAGGAGGAAGAGCGGGTGTCGTTGCAGGAATTAAGGCCGTAGGGAGGGAGGGAGGGAGGGGCAGCACCTCAGCAACGAATGGACTGGCCTCAACTGCTCTTCGATGGAAACAGAAGATGGAACTGGGTGCCTTTGGGCTGAGCTGACCCACTTAATGGAGGAAGAATTCTCTGTGTGCCTCAGTTAATGCAGATCATAAAGTTATCTGAGAGTGAAAAACCCAGCAGTTTAGCCAAGTATTCTCCTCCTCTCCTCCTCCTACTTCTCCTTCTCCTCCTCCTCCTTCTCCTTGTCCTTCTCCTCTTCCTCTTCCTCCTTCTCCTCTCTTCTCCTCCTTCTCCTCCTCCTTCTCCTCCTCTCTTCTTCTTCTCCTCCTCCTCCTCCTCCTTCTCCTCCTCCTCTCTTCTCCTCCTCTTCCTTCTTCTCCTCCTCTCTTCTTTTTCTTCTCCTTCTTCTTCTTCTCCTCCTCCTCCTTTTCCTCCTCTTCTTCCTCCTAGTCCTTCTCCTTTTTTCTCCTCCTCCTTCTCCTCCTCTTCCTCCTCCTCTCATCTTCTCCTTCTCCTCCTTCTTCTCCTCCTCCTTCACCTCCTTTTCCTCCTCTTTCTCTTCATCCTAGTCCTTCTCCTTCTTTCTCCTCCTTCTCCTCCTCCTCTTTCTCCTCCTCCTCCTCTCTTCTCCTCCTCCTCCTCCTCCTCCTCCTTGTCCTCCTTCTCCTTCTCCTCCTCCTCCTCCTCCTCCTCCTCCATGTCCTTGTGGAACAACCTGCCTCCAGACATTGTGGGTGCTCCATCACTGGAGGCTTTTAAGAAGAGAATGGACAGCCGGCTTCCAGTTTGAGATTGCGGTGCTGGCAGATGTGCGAGGCGATCACTCTCTCCGCCGCCTGGTTTTCTCCCGCTGGGGAACCCTGAAAAGGGTTGGAAGTCGCCCTGGAGAGGCGATGAGCATGAAGAGGACCCCCGAGTGATCGCAGAAGGGTGGCAGCCCTCCCGTTTGATCCGGGGTAGCTCTTCGAACTGACGGGGGAAAGATTGGCCATTAACATGGCCCATCACTAAGCTGCTACCAGCCAAGGCCAAAATTACTAACAAGCACTTCAAAAGCACCACAGAGAAATTGGGTGAGATCTTACCTTCTTTGTACCCCAAGTACTTTCCTGTAAAAAGCTTCTTGAAATTTCTTCCCCCTGTGAGGAGAGAGGGAAGGGAATGTCTTCCTCCCGCCCTCTAAAATGGCGGCGTCAGACTACCTAGGGGACATAAAGCCTTGAAAAGAACAACTAAATAATTGGAATTGCATCCTCTTGATATTTGCGGACCCAAAAAGTTCCTACTCTTATGGGGATCTGTTACCTTATCTACTTGTAAAAAAGATGAAAAAGAACTTAAATTGGATAAAAATCTAGCCCGGTTTTTGAAAAAAAATTTAAATGCTATCGGGGACATCTTGTGGCGAAGCGTGGTACAGCAAGTGAATATTCTTGACAAAGAGACCTGCTTACAGCCCAGATCTGTCCTTGGTATTATCTAAAAGAGATAAAAAGCTGAGAGAAAAGCTGGGCGGTGAAATTGTTTTTTAGGAATTGTGGAGGTGAACAATTACTGACTCTTGTTTCAAAAATAGCCTCCACTAAAGGACCATTTATAACTATCTCAGAAATGGAGGAGGACCAGCAACAAATTTCGGCTAACTATAAACTTATATTTGAAAAAATTTCTTGAAGGTACTGAGGTAATCAAATCTAGACTGAAAGACAAAGGTGCCAGCTTAAACCTACAAAGCGAAAGCCTGATCGCAACTGAAGAACTTACAATTCAAAAAACAACAGAAGCGGTAGAAAGTAATTCCAAGACTTTAAAAAACAACAACTACAATGTACTGAAAATTTAGACAACCAAACCCTGATTGCAACTAAAGAACCTACAACCCAAAGAACAACAGAAGCGGAGAAAAGTAATACCAAGATGGAGGGTGTTAAAGATCAACAAGTACAGCTTACTGAAAACCTAGATAATCAGACAAGAACCATAAAATTGGACATGACCTTTTACTTAAACCAGAAGAAACCTGAGGAAAAAGAAGACCAGATCGAATTGAAGATAAACATACCAGAGCAAATATGGGGATTTGAGCCACCAGGGCCTGGTTGGCATAAAAAGAAAGCTAGAGTTAGATTTAAAAAATGGGGTCTTTTGATTTATTAGAGAGGATCCTAAAGTCTCAACTAGTGGGCTAAAGGGAGATTTTGAGATGAAGGGAAATATGAGTATTAGATTTAAATATTGTGGGAAAATGATAAAAAAATAAGGGATTAATTGGCTTAATATTGAGGATTTAGATTTATAAGGGAAATGAAAATTAACTATTAGGAAATAGCTTTGAATTATTGTTTAGCCCAGATAATATAGATGATGGATTTGAGACAATAAAGGATACTCCATTAGTAAGTGGTAATGTACTAACTGGGATGAGAAATAGAAAATGTTTATGAAATAAAATAAGAATATATTTCAGTAACTAATATGTGTATTTTAGATATTATAACTTTTACGTAGTGAAAGAAAGGAAATTTGGGATACCCGAAGCTTAAATACTATGGATATTAAAGGTTAAATTGGAATGCTGCAATTAAAAGTTAAAAATTAGGTAAAACTTAAAAACAGGATATGGATATGTATAAGCAAAAATATATTGATAAATGTTTTAACTGTGCTTGTTATAGTTAGAAATTTACTAGCTTAAATATGATATAGCAAATCTTAAGGGAAACAGAGAAGGAATTTTTGATGATGTAACCTGAGATATGTACTAAAGCTTTTGTTATTGAACTATTGACTGCCGAATCACCACGCTGCTTTCCAAATACTCAAATGTAAAACTGGAAAACCAATAAAAACCTGTTATAAAAAAAGAGAAGAGAATGGAAAGTCATTGGTTTAAAATGTTATTCTTCTTGTGCCATATCTGTTATCGGACGTTGGCGATCATGTTGGCGATCCTGTTTTTATCAGCAGCCACACGAAAAAGTGCTGCTGAGTTTTGTCCAAACCAGTCCCTTAGATTTTGAAGCCATGATGTTCTTCTTCTGCCTGGACCTCGTTTGCCTTCCATCTTTTCCTGGAGGATTAAATGGAGTATGCCATATTTTCCTGGGTGTCGCATCCCATGTGGAGGGAAGTGTGTAGTGGGGTGCCCCAGGGCTCTGTTCTGGGCCCAGTGCTCTTCAACATCTTCATCAACGATCTGGACGAGGGGATAGATGGGGAACTCATCAAATTTGCAGACGACACCAAGCTGGCAGGAATAGCCAACACTCCAGAAGACAGGCTTAGGATACAGGAGGACCTGGACAGACTTGAACACTGGG